ATGGAATAAACAAATAATTCGCATATAAATTTAATTAGCTACAGCCGATATCATCCTTGGTTCACAAAATATTATGTGGTAAATGATCAGAAACAATAGGCCTTATTTTTTAGGAATGTTAAATCTGATAGATACAAATGCAAATAATGTACAAAAAAAATCAGAAAAACGTATTGTTATTCCTAATAAATTTGCAAGTATTCAGTGATAATGATGAAATATACAAAATTATTCGCAAATAATGAGATTAATTAATGAATCCATGAAGTTGATAAATATATGTAATGTAACTGGTCGAAAGATCAGAAGTCAAATAAAATAAAATTTTCAATTAAATTAAACATTTTTCTATTTTCAACGTAACGTTTATTATCATCATTATCATCAACACAACATATTTACCAAATTATCCATTACCTTTGAACAGCTTGATGGCTCGTATTTTCTTCAACATCTTCAAACACGTTCCAATAAATGCACAACAGTTCACCAACAGTTTAGAAATAACTGAAAATAAAACAAACACAAAACTGGAAATTCGGTGTCACAATCACAAACTAAGCAACAAAATAGATTCATTCACAATGCGATTCGTTCTATGGGTAATGACTAACAGAGTATGGATAAAGTGTGCGGTTTCGAGAAGACATACGGCAGTAGGAACAATATGGTGCCGACCGTCCTGGTGTGGTGCCTATATGTTTCCTGTCGGTGCTGCTAAACGAACCGGAAACGCACGGGTGCATAACGCACGTGTCACGGACGATGAATCCGATGAGCGGCAGCACGATTCCGTATATAGAATGAGTAGGTATCGTACGTTTGTACGACTTAGGGGAAAATGGAAATAAAAAAATTGTGGATTTATAATTAAGTGGAATTCCTTAAGAAAAACGTCTGATGCAGAAGTGCTTAAACTCAAAATTGAGAAGGACAGCGTGTGCCAACTAGAGGCGTAGTGTGGGTTGGTAGACCACAGTAAAAAAATTGTTTGGAGGGCATTGGAAAAAGTGAAGATTTTTAACAAAAAAATTGATTTAAATTAAAAGTAATATATAATAATTGAATTAAATTATTCATTCACCACGTTTTTAAAAAAAATATAAAAATTCAAATAAAATGTGCACTTTTTTTGTTCTTTTTCGGTAAAATCGTTGTTTTTCCCATACAAACATTTTACACATTTTATAATATTCAAATTTTCAAAAATATGGAATTTTAAACAAAGATCCATGGATTTTTTAACAAAGATTTGGCCATTTTATTTTTTTCAAATTTTCAAAGATATCTATCCACGGATTTTTTTAACAAAGTTTTTTAATAAAGTTTTAATCTAATTGTAGAACATATGTAAATACGACCATAACAAATATAACTGAACAAATTTTATAAATTTTTTATATACTAAGTTTGTACATTGTTATTTAGTTTTTTTTTTTTTTGAATCGTAAATATATATTTTTATTATCTTTTGTTAACTAGTTGTAAGAACACTTGATGGCAGTATGTTTTTAAGAGCTCTTTTCATACTTATACGTATCGTATAAGTTAATAGAAACAAATATATATGCAAACAATATTATATTATGATAGTATAATGATATTCCCAGAATAGTTGTATACAATTTGTATCTTTATGTAAAAATCAATGTATGTATTTAAGTCAAATAAGGCAAATTTTCAAATTGAAAAAAAAAAATTAACAAAGTTTTTGCGGTTTTGTATTTATGAAATATTTAAAGATATCTATCCACAGATTTTTTTTAACAAAGTTTTTGCCATTTTATATTATTCAAATTTTCAAAGATCCTATTATGGTATTTTTAACAAAGTTTTTGCCATTTTATATTATTCAAATTTTCAAAGATCCTATTATGGTATTTTTTAACAAAGTTTTGGCCGTTTTATATTATTCAAATTTTCAAAAATATATCCATGTCTTTTTTAACAAAGTTTTGGTCGTTTTATATTATCCAAATTTTCAAAGATATTTATCCATGGTATTTTTAACAAACTTATGGCCGTTTAATTTTATTCAAATTTTCAAAGATATCTATTATCTTATATCACACGCAATATATGTAAAATTATAATTGGCGTAATGATCGCAAGATCCACAGCCATGTAAAATAAATAAAAAAAAATGCATATACGCAAAATTATAAACACTAAACTATATTTTGCTTATATTTACATCATCATTTTCACTGTCAAAGTACAACACTACAAAATGTGTGATGATACAGTTACGTATTCTTAGTCAAACTTGGACATTGTCTGTGATGGAAATCTATTGATAAGATGGGAACGCTCCGTTTTATGACAAAAATTAAATTTTATGTGCGTATAAGCTAGTTTGTTTGAAATACCAAAACAAAGAGCATTATCGTTTTTAAACGCATTAAAATCATTCACACAATTTACTCATCTGTAACCCGATCTTAATGATAATTGCTGAATATATTTTTATATATTCTATAAGTAGTACGAAGGATCCAATTCTCCCCTATGCACATGAAAAATATAATAGGTGCACCTGGCTGATTCACTACAATTTTATTATTGTTATTAGAGGCACGAGACTGCAAGTGCCGTCATTATTGCGACGTTCTATCGAAAACAACTAGTGGGAGTTAGATATCAGATTTCAATTGCGTTTTTTTAGAAAATTATAATAAAGTTAGGTAAAAATCTTATTCAAAACATTTGTAGAATCACTTGTAAATTATTAATTAATTATTATTATATTATTTATAACCGGGAATCTAATCACTGGATTGGCATTCGATTTAGATAAACTACTTACTACCAATTTGCTGATGTTATAATGGTATAGGTGCAGAAGTTAGAAAAGAAAAAAAAATTATATTATTGTAATTAATAGATTATTATATTTTTAATCACTTAATTTTTCAATTGTTATGTTTTCAAAAGTTACTTAAATAAAAAGTAAAATTAAGAGTAAAAAAATTATATCGTTATAATTAATAGATTATTATATTTTTATAATCATTTAATTTTTGAATTATTGGGTGTTTTTTTAAAAAATATTAAGAAAAATCTAGAAAAGAGCAAAATAACACATATAATTAATCATAACAGACTGAAAACGTATACAGCAATAGCCATAAATAAAAAAAATCACAGACACAACACTAGGTAAAATAAAAAAAAACATATAAAATAAATCAAAAGAATTAAAAGAATATAAAATACTATATGGAGTGCTAATAAGCTATTTAATCAACCCTCACGTGAAATCTGGTTTACTGAAGAAGAGAAGAATAAATTTGAAATTAGGATAAATAAATATGATGATATAACAGTCAGAAACGGAAATTTTTGAAAATGAGCTCTTTAGGGGGCTTAAATTACTTGAGGTTTTTAGGGGGAAAGGGTGTTTGACAAAAAATCACAAAATACCACGTGGTGGAGGGAGGGGTATAGTAAGATTAAAAAAAAACATTTTCAAAAAAAAAAAAAAAATCTTACAGTTTTATCACGTAACTAAAAATACACGTGATGTTTGGTGGAGATGGGGATTAATTTTGAATATCACCATGTATCACCAAGGGGGAGAGGGGTCCAAATTTTTTTAAAAACTCGCTCACGTGATTAATGGACGCCCCCTTATATAAAAATAGTTTAAAAGTTAAACATTTCATGGCAATTTCTTTCCTAAAAACGACATCCTGCATATGTTAGATGTATTGACTGAAATCAACCTTACTCACGTGCCTATCGTCTGAAAAATTAATTTTAGAAATATGAGTTTAACGTAGTCGATCAATTCAAAATAGCTCGTTTGGTTTTATAACATGACCAACTTATTATCTCTTACCTGGTGTGCTACACCGTAATAAGCATGTAATACCTGAGACGGTAAAAATAAATCACCTAATACGTTCTCGAGTATTAAAAAGTTAAGTGGACACGGTCTGCTTGTTAACGGCGAGATGTACGTTTTGTTGCCCGTTGCGGCATCAGCGGTGCGTGCGGACAATATATTCATATGGACGATATCGCAAATTTGATACACAGGATAAAACACCGGACGGATACCCTCTGATCCTTATCAATACGACTACCATTGTGCTTATATGATATATAGATGTATATTTTTCAACAGCTATCAGAACTATGTGTTCTATGAGCTGTGTTTGCCATCGTACATCATCTAGAATTTTCTCTCGAAAGGGCAACCCAGTGGTCAACCACTCTTTTTATGTTCAGACTATTTATATAATACTAATGGGGTGCATGGCATCGTGCCTTACAGCAAATGCGGGAACTTCCTATACTGTAATCAAAAATCTTGGTACGAAACTCAAAAAAATTTACTCAAAATATGTACACATTATTAAAATCTCTATAAAATATCTGATAATTTGATGTACATATGTCCAATGAACATTTTTGACCGCCAAATGACGTTTTTTAAACTTATTTTTATTGATAGTCCATTACCGCTGGACCTGCCTTCCTAAAATTTTAATAAATTCTTCGTCTTGTAAATACAAGTAAAATATGTTTGTTGAATTATTAAAATTGGGCGCTTAGTTTTCTTAAAAACTGAATTACCGTTTTTGGTACTTTTTGCCCCGTATCTTCGGAACGGCTAGACCTGCCTTCGCCAAAAACTAATCAGCACGTCTCCTTATCAATACGAATCGAATGTTCTTTGAATTATTCAAATCGATTGATCGGTGTTCCCAAAATCGTCCGAACACACACACATACATCAATTTTTTCTAAGGTATGCCAAAATGTTCAGAAACCTTTGAAACGTAGAGATATATAAAAATTTTCATTTTCGATTTTTTTGCGATTACTATAACTTACCCTACGAGAAGTTAATAATACTGATATTGCAAAAAAGCTAACAATGTTGATACGAGGATAAGTAAGTAGCAATGTGTTGTATTTCAAATATTAAAGTTCAAGTTCATTCAAAAATTTAAATTTTAAAAATATATACGAAATAAAAGAATTTATAATACTTACACTTCTGCTGGTGGCATTTGAACAATAGCAGCAATAAGAGGAGCACAATGTCCTTCACGCAGAACAATTACTCTGATACTGTAAGAATTATCATCATATTCCTCCGAAAGTTGTTCTGGATTATCTGGTTGTACAGCACGAATATGGGTTTCCAAATGATAGTTCACACCAGGCACAAGAAGAGGAATCTGGATAAAAGAAATATTACTTTTAAACAGATTTTCTAACTAAGAACTTTGATGATAAAATTGTTTTTAAACAAACCTTCATATAAGAATCCTTAGCTATGTACAAATTATGATCGCAATGTATGAGAATAAATAAATCAGTGATTCTTGTCAGTTGAGACATGTTTTCCAATTGGAGTGCCAGGCGAAAAGTGGGTCCTAAACCAAGAACCTGAAAATTATAATATATAAAATTCAGCAAACCTGTTGATATTACTTAGATTATTGTAGTAAATGATAAAATTACTTTTAAATATTTAATAAATAAATAGCAAAAAAATGGTATCGTTTGCATATTTATGTCCTAGATCTTTCATTGCTCTAATGCAAGATTGATACGAGCTTGTTATAAAATTCAAAATATGTTAAATATGTATTAATTAAATTCGAAATGTTTCTATTATCTACCTGAGCTGCAAGTTTGACTGGAGCAGCATTGGCTAGAGCAACGGAAGTGTCTGCTGACTGCAAAGTATCAACAGTGGTTCGAGCTACATTAAGACGCATTCGCCAAAGTTCTTGTTGGAAAATCTGATGCATTTCTAAGAACAAAAATTTAAATGATTATTGTTGTCTTACTCTGTTTACAAAACACACCTATTGCTTGTTCTCTTTCTCTGATGCTATGTTCTACAAAAAGCTTAGTTTTCTTTGGCAGCTGAAGTGGAGGTGCCTGAGAATTTATGGATTCCATTGACGCTGATTTTGTGACAGCAAATCTAGCAGTTCTTTTTAAAATTTTCATGATCAAAGAGCCATCTGTAATTTATTTTATTGTATTGTAATATAAAAATTATCTATCAATACTATTTATAACTGAATCATAATTTTTGATGATATACAATATTTTACCATTTGTGGAAATTATGAGTACATGTTCCTCCTGACCGAGACTTCCAAAAGTAACTGCCGATGCAGTATCTGCAAGAAAATTTAATCGAATTAAAATAGCTCCAAGCATGCAATAAAAGGCAATTAATTAAATTCCAACCTGTAATGTTAAATATGTCCACCAAATGCCTGCCTTTATAGCAATGAATTTCACCTCCTAGCATAGAAACAATTGCCAAAGACATTCCCAAATGAGGGAGGACAGCTTGGCAGAAAGCAGTAGGAGCAGCCGGCAACGTTACCGTCCACATGCGTCTACCCTGCACAAAAAAAGATAAAAGTTCCTAAAGAGATAGTATTTAAAATTTATGGAATCATAAAAAATATTGATTTAAAAACAATAAAGAAAACCCACTTGGAATGATTTTAGAATTAGATTAATTTTCTATTATTTTTATTACCTTTCTAGAATAACAAGATATTGTTTTATCCATTAATACAAGTATTGCAGATTGATCTTGTGCATTAATTTCTAAACCAACAATTGGCACATCAAGACGAATGAGAGTGCGGCCTTCTAACCAGCCTTTGCGCAAAACACATACCGTCTTCTCCCTGGTTTGTAAATAATTTATATATATATATATATATATATATATATATTATATTATATTATATTTTTCTGTTACCTGCAAGCTACCAAGCACCGATATTCCACATCGTAAGATCCTATCATCGACATCAAAGTAGGAGTATATTTTGAAGAACTTATGCGAGCCTAAACAATCAACGGTTTTCAATATTATTAAATTATTTCAATAGTATTAAAATTATTTTTTTTATTTTAACCTGGTGTATTATAGTGAACGCTTGTGAGTCGAGTATCATGAGTTCCCCATGCTGGGTGACCAGACTCAGGCAATCAGCAGCACGTTCTTTTGCAGCATTTCTGCTCAAGGGGGCCATACACATAACCGCGCTACGACGTACAGAGTCTTCTTGAAGATGCTTTGCTATAAAATCCTAATAAAGTAATAATTAAAATAACTACTTCACTAAATTAATATTTATTGCGATCACTAAACTATAAAACATTGTCCATGAAATTACGAACCGGTCTGTTTTCCTCGGGCAGTGCCAGTAAATTCTGAGTTCTAATAGTTAATTCAGAAAATGGAACTTCTCTTAACGATTCCAAAAATGCGGAAACATCGGATTCACCAGCTTCAAACTGTATATAAATAAATAAAAATACATTTCAGATGATAAATAAAATTTGAAATATATATAGTATTTATAGAAAAAATTGTGTAATACTCACTTTTCGCCATATTTCAATTTCCAAAGGTAAAACTTCCAAAGGAGGTAAGGTAAACTTAAAATAAGGTTTGAAATTGCGATATAATAGGATGTCACATCCACAAGATACTGCTATAGCTACAAATACAAATATAATTCAAGAAAAAATAAATAAATTTTCTTTAAATATCTTTGTAAATAATTACCTTCGGCATCAGAATCTTCTAAGTGTAATTTTACTATAGCAGAAGGAATTCCTGGTAAAACAGTTTCTTGAATTTGAGTGCGGCCTTTAAATGCCTATACAAAATTATTTTATTTAAAAAACATAAACAAAAATAATATAAAGTATTATTGAACAGTTTTAAAAAACTATACAAGATTATACAGTACATTCCACCAAGATTAATGTAGTATATATTCGAAAGAAAAGATAACTAAAAAAAATAATTTTTAGTACTAATACAGAAATTTTATAAAATTGATTTGCATTTTTAATAAGACAAGTGTTTAATAAAACATAAGCTTATTTGATCATTCTTTCCCCACTTACTCTAAGTTTGACTTTGCTGGTTCCAATATAAGAGTCAACGTGAGCAGCCACCAATTTATTGTCACCATCTCCTATAAGATCTGCAAGAACCATGCAGGATGCAGGTGAGTGCAGACTTGATCTTTCATCCCTTGGGACTTCCAACCAACTGGATGACATACTGAACTTTGTTTTATTATTTAACAGGAGCACTAGAATTGTACTAGCACCAGCACCAGAACCGAACCAATATTTAGAGTATTTTATAATTTGTTTTAATGATACCAAATATATTATTAAACAATCTTTCTCTCGTGGTTATTCAAACTTACATGCATGATTATAAAGTTTTTGTACTTGTGTTGTTCATACTTGTAGATTTAACACAACAGATACATTTATATTATATATAATTAAAATTATAGAATTACCATCAAACATGGTATTATATGTTTACACATTTTCTGATATACTTTAATTATTGCCAGCGTCTCCATGGCACGACTTTGTTTGACAACAAAACACCCACAATCGATTTTTCCGCGCTGTTCGTAATAAAATATATTTTATTATATATATACTATTTTGATTGATCACTATTTATGTTTATTTATCTATGTTGACCACTACAAATTTGTAATATTTAAAATTAATTAATCAGTCTTATCTCATCCAGCATTATAAACTCAATAAATTTATTACTCTAAATTCTCTAACTCTCGTAGCCTTTTTTCCAATTGATCCTTATCCAATCGGTGTTTGCATAAATATTGGCCTTCCAGAAACAGGACTGGAATTTCGTATCGATATAATCGCAACCACCTCAAATTTTCTTTGTGGGCGATATCGACTTCTACCAAATTGTATCGTCCTTTAAAATATTCTTCCAGTTCGTACTTGAGGTCATCGCACATTGGACAAGGATGTCTGGTGTACAATGTTAATGTTGGTGGCCGGGATATTGGCGAATGATTTCTGCAATAATAACGTATAATATTAATTTGATACTATTAGTTTAGGATAATACAGAGAAGTTTAATGAAAAAATAATTTTTTATAGAAAGAAATTAAAATAAAACATCAATCTTAGGACACAGTAATTGCAAAGGTGATTTTATTAAGTTTAGTAAATAGATTCAATCACACAAAGCTAAAATCTAAATATAAATATCATAAATTTTCTAACTCAAACTGTGAAAAAATGCAGGGATAAAACAAACAGTTTGATTTTTTTAGTATTATGACCAAAAGTTATTTAAATTTAAATTGTAATGATAAAGATGGTTCAATTTTAATATGATGAAGATGAGAATGATTGGAAATCACAACAAAAAAAACTACTCATAACAATTTATTTACATCTTATATCTTATATAAAATCTTATAACAAAAATTTCAACATGTATAAAAACTAGATTGGCAGAGCTTGGCATTATCAAATTATTAAATTTATCACTGAATTTTTACAGAAATCTTTACTTCAAGATAAAATATTATTTATCTCAAAGATTAATTAAGCATTATTAGATTACACTTACAAAGTGTAAAATATGTTTTGTTTGCTTCAATATTTTACGAGTAGATATTTTAAATAAGTAATTAATGATTTATTGCACACATCTGTAAATTTAATAAAATATTTACAATTTTTGCAACAGAATAGTTGATGCGCCACCTCCACCATTACA